CATTCACATTTGGGTGTATTGGGTATTTGTACCCAGTGAATGAAAATGCACCCTGCATATCAGATATTTACATTATGATTTATAACAGTTGTAAAATGATTGTTATGAAGTAGCAACGAAAACATTATGGTTGGGGGTCACCACAACATTAGGGACTGTATTAAGGGGTCACGTCATTAGGAAGGTTGAGAACCACTGTACTAGTGTATTCAGAAAAACTAAGGATACTAGAACTACTAGGTTTGGTTGATTAAAAAAATGGTTCAAAATTCATTTTGGATGTAGGGGGCACTGATGGCTCAATTCGGAATTAAATTCTGAATTTTTCTGAAAAAAATTCAAGAACTTTCCAAAATTTCTGAATCGCTTCGTTAATTGGGGACGCAATTGCGCAATACGCAAAAAACAGCAAAAGGTACTGGATAGTACCTTTCAAGTATAGGCTACTGGATAGTACCTTTCAAGTATAGGCTACTGGATAGTACCTTTCAAGTATAGGCTACTGGATAGTACCTTTCAAGTATAGGCTTGAAAGTATGGGATTTGTAGTATCTTTTTAGGCAATGCACAGCAATCAAAGAAGAAGAAAAACCAAACAGCCCTGAGAGCTTTTGGGGCCTTATGAGCTGATTTCACAAGTTAGGGAAGTATAAGCATAAAAGTATGGGATTTGTAGTATCTTTCTAGTCAATGCACAGCAATCAAAGAAAACAAACAAACAAACAGCCCTGAGAGCTTTTGGGGCTTTGTGAGCTGATTTCACATGTTAGGGAAGTAAAAGCATGAAAGTATGGGATTTGTAGTATCTTTCTAGGCAATGCACAGCAATCAAAGAAAAACAAACAGCCCTGAGAGCTTTTGGGGCCTTGTGAGCTGATCTCACAAGTTAGGGAAGCATAGGCATGAAACTATGGGCAGAGGCGGCCCTAGGTAATTTTCAACGGTAAGCAAACAGTATTTTGGCCCCCCCCCCCCCCAACCAATCACTGATATATATTTTCTGTTTGTCGTGGGAGTTCTGTGTGCCATATTTGGTTCAATTCCATCATTGGTGGAGTCAGAATGCTCTTTGATTGTAGGTGAACTATAAATCCCGTATTTGGTTCAATTTCATCATTGGTGGAGTTCAGAATGCTCTTTGATTTTTGGTGAACTATACATCCCAGTAACTACAACTCGAATATGTCAAGGTCTATTTTCCCCAAGAGCGCCTCAAGAGTGCCCCTGGGCAAAATCAACTATACTGCAAATGCTTACTTTGCGTAATGGGTTGAGCCGCCCCTGACTATGGGGTTTGTAGTATCTTTCTAGGCAATGCACAGCAATTAAAGAAGAAGAAAAAATAAACAGCCCTTAGAGCTTTTAGGGCCTTGTGAGCTGATTTCACAAGTTAGGGAAATATAGGCACGAAAGTATGGGATTTGTAGTGTCTTTTTAGGCAACTCACAGCAAACAAAGAAAATAACAAACAGCCCTGCCTTTTTTTGCCTTGGAAGTTGATTTCACTACTTTAGGAAGGAGAGTTTGTGTTCAAAGAGTGGCTTGAATTGATGGGAGATCTAGTTCTTTTGAGGTAATGTGCAACACAATCTAAAAAAACACTGAGGCAAGAGAGACCAGCTACAATGTTGGCTTTTAAAAATGTTGGAGTGAGTGCTTTGGTCCCTCCATGTTGCTCCTTTCACCCATGCCACTCACATACACACTACCCTTGCGGTGCCCACCTATCCCAAACCCCAACAGCATCAACACACAAGTGGCAAGGCAGGCTGCCCACTGCCCGGCCAGCCAAGCAGGCAGGCAGCCAGGCATGGCAGGCAACAGCTTTGGAAGGGCAAAGGGACTTCTAGATTTTTAAAATGCTTTGAAATTGCTTCAAAAAGGCAAGTTTAGCGAAATTATTACGAGTAATGAGTTATCTGACATGGCTCTATCCATGCCTAAGAACTACCTATCTATGTGCTGTTTTTTCTTCCTTTCCTATACAATCTTTCATCATATGCTCAGAATTGTATGGAGACAGCATGGTATGAAGTTCCGTTTTCCTTATAAAACTGTGGATGCTCACCAGAATTTAACAACTCTATATTGACTATGAGATGCTGACCTTCTCACGTGGGTTATGGATGAGCTGCCACCAATCCTTCAAACAACATTATTTTCCTTCCCACTGAACATGACATGAACTACAGAGCTGAATACTGCAATCCAAACACATACCATCTCATGCAAAAATACACTTCAGCTCACTGATCAGGCCACGTTCTTGCCTCAGGTCTAGTGCTACACACACTCCAGTTTTTGGAGTCCTGGGCATACAATCAAATCAAACCAAGAACTTTACTAAGTCTCAAACAGATCATAAGTAGGGTCAGACATGCTGTTCTTGAGGTGAAGGAAAATATGGAAGCCACTCTCTTTTCTATATACAGCAGGGGTCCACAAACGTTTTAAGCAGAGGGCCAGGTCACAGTCCCTCAAACTGTTGGAGGGCCGGATTATAATTAGAAAAAAACATGAATGAATTCCTATGCACACTGCACTTATTTGTAGTGCAAAAAAACCCCAAAACCTTAAATACAATACAATAATTAAAATGAAGAACAATTTTAACAAATATAAGGTTATTAGTATTTCAATGGGAAGTGTGAGCCTGCTTTTGGCTGATAGATAGGATTCTTGTTGTTGTGGTTGTGTGCTTTCAAGTCGTTTCAGACTTAAGTTGACCCTGAGGGTCGGGTAAATGACCTTGGAGGGCCGTATTTGGCCCCCGGGCCTTAGTTTGAGGATCCCTGATATACAGGGTGAGGCAGCATAACTTCCTTTTTTAAAATGTGCGCCATTCAGTCGGTTGAAGACGTAGCAGAGTGCTAGTGGTCTCATTCGAGAGGTATGAGTATAAAGTTTTGTCCTGACACAGTTCAGTCACCATCATGCATTGGAATGGTGAGGAGCGTGCTTTTGCCGTTGAGGCCTACATTTTGAGCGGGTTTGGAGTGACCGGCCTGCTCTCCAGATTTGGCCCCTTGTGATTTTTTTTCTATGGGGTTTTTTGAAGACCAACATCCAGGAAGAAATTGCCAACATAACGCCTGCTATGCTGGCAAGAATCATAACAAACGCCAGAAATCGGTTTATTCAGTGTATGGAGAATGGGGGATGTCACCTACCTAATTTGATCTTCAAAACTACATAAAACAAAAATTTAGGTATGTGCCTACATTATAAAAAATATATAAATTTCTGATTAATACAATGGATTTTATTAAGTTTTGAAAAACGGAAGTTATGCTGCCTCATCCTGTACAAAAGCCAAAAGGGCTGGCAGGTGACTCCTTGAACAATGGAGCCAATATAGCTTCCTTCAAGATACTTAAGCCAGCTTGTTAGTTTAGAGAGCAGTGTAGACTAACAACTTCGTTGGACAGGGGTAAATTCAGCCTTTGCTTTTGCCTGGAGCCCACCACTGCTCATTTCATGATGTACATCTACTACCAATGGGGCTCTGTTCTGTCGCGCGCTGGGCCTGTAATGGCTGTACTTTTCTATAGGACGTATACTTTAAGCCCAGTGGGAAGCCAGGGGCGCCTCAGTGATTTTTCTGAAGTGATGGTCTTTAGAGTCTTTAATGATATGGAACAAACAACAAATCTTCAATTGTTCAAACAACACTTGGATGCTTTCTTAGTCTAGTCCTCAATGGACTGGTACCTGACTTTGATTAACTGTACTTTCTCTGTAGGAAAAAACCCTATTTAACCTCTCCCAGGCTGTTTACTATCTATGCCTCATCGGTGTGGGTCCTACTACCGATTCCAAATGCGTCTGGGTATCGAGTAGACCTACCAGCCGAGGCTTGTAGATATTTCAGATGGAGTTCCGTGGATCTGTAGTGCTGTCCTCCCTCAGAGAATTCTTTGAAAACCTCAGGGTTGTTTTCCCTCTGATTGCTGTGAGGCTGAGAGGCTGTGAGCTCTCAGCCAGAGCCTTGGGACCTTTTCCCTGGAATTCTGTTTCTGTTTCCCCGGATGTTCTTGAGAAAAGAAGCTTTTCTACGGGACGAGCTGGTCTACGTCCTATAGTTTAGCTTCCTTATGAGAGACTGCCCAAAAAAATGGCTCCTTTCCCTCCCAGAGCCCTGAACAAGGGGCGGAACCAAAGCTTAATTATGATGGACAGGAGGCCTGCCCTATAACTGCAAACAGATAACAAAAAGAAAATAAAGTTGGAGCTTCTGGTACAGCCGTACCAGCACAGGCTCCATGATTAAAAGGAAGGCGAACCAGTGCATGCCACTGCGACAGCAACACGGGAGACTTCCCATGTTCAAGTGAGATCAGTGTGTGAAGTCAACATTTCTCCTTGTGGGATGGGTTCCCTGTGCCCCCTGATGGGCAATACCGGATTCTTATGCGGTCATATGTGACACAGTCACCTCTGCCTTTTACCAGCAGTAAACAGTCAGGGGTTAATTAGGAATAAGTAGGTATTGCTGCATTCCTTCTGCTTATGCTGTGGCTGTCCAGGTTGTAATCTGTGGAGGCCTAATTTTGTTGTTGTCCAAGTCATAAACGGTGAAGACACAATTTCCATACCCCCAAATATTACTTTGTTGTTGTTCATTCAGTCATCTCCGACTCTTCGTGACCTCATGGACCAGCCCACGCCAGAGCTCCCTGTTGGCCGTCACCACCCCCAGCTCCTTCAAGATCAGTCCAGTCCCTTCAAGGATGCCATCCATCCATCTTGCCCTTGGTCGGCCCCTCTTCCTTTTACCTTCCACTTTCCCCAGCATAAAATATTACTAAAATATTACTACATTATTATATTATTACATAAAATATTACTAACCCACTGCTATTCTTTAGACTGCTAAACTGTAGACTGCAGTGAAAAATTGAACATGGATTCAATTGAAGTTTCTCATTTGTTAAAAAATATCCCTCAGATAAAAAAAATCACAAGCAAACATCTTACAGTGAAACTTGTATGAGGTGTACCTTATGCTTAAATTTGTTGGAATTCTTGTTCTCTTTCTTGTTTAGGTCAATGAAGTAGTGAGTGATGCGCTCCTTGGATTTGGAATCCATGTCCCATGAAATCTTGAATGAATCGCAGGTGATGTTGCTGATCTTGATGTTGTGTGGAACCGGAAGCTCTTCCATTTCTGCAATGCCACTATCTTGTGATTTATTTCCTACAAGCAGAAAATAATAACGGTGACCCTATTATTAAGACTGTTATTTGAGTGTATTACCAAATATACATTTTCTGGAAAGTGAAAAGGCATTTTAGATTTTAAAAATTCAGGTGGCAGTATAAAGTAGAGGAAAGAAAGGCAAAGAGTGAAGGGAAGAGGAAAATCATAGAATCATAGAATCAAAGAGTTGGAAGAGACCTCAAGGGACATCCAGTCCAACCCCCTGCCAAGAAGCAGGAATATTGCATTCAAATCACCCCTGACAGATGGCCATCCAGCCTCTGTTTAAAAGCTTCCAAAGAAGGAGCCCCCATCACACTCTGCGGCAGAGAGTTCCACTGCTGAACAGCTCTCACAGTCAGGAAGTTCTTCCTCATGTTCAGATGGAATCTCCTTTCTTGTAGTTTGAAGCCATTGTTCCTTGTCCTAATCTCCATGGAAGCAGTAAACAAACTTGCTCTCTCCTCCCTGTGGCTTCTTCTCACATATTTATACATGGCTATTATATCTCCGCTCAGCCTTCTCTTCTTCAGGCTAAACATGCCCAGCTCCTTAAGCCGCTCCTCATAGGGCTTGTTCTCTAGACCCTTGATCATTTTAGTCACCCTCCTCTGGACACATTCCAGCTTGTCAATATTTCTCTTGAATTGTGGTGCCCAGAATTCAAAAGAACCCTTCCAGACAGGCCCTTCCAGGTTTTCTGCTTTAAACTGGATTATATGAGTCCGACTGCTAGATAATCTGGGATAAAAAGAAATCTCGTGATCAGATCCTGTCTGGAAGGGTCCAGAGAGAGAGAGAAAGGCAGGATGAGGCCAGAAACAGCAAGAATTTGTATTTGAATAAGAACTACTCAAGTACAAATGTATTGATTCAACAACTGATTCAACGGATCCAACTAATTGGGACCAACAAATAAAATTTGGCCCATCCACCACCCCAAACAAATTTTCCAAGCTTTGGATTGGAGATAGGCTGGATAGAAGTACAGCTAAGTTGAATTCTGGAATGGAAAGCCAAGTCCATATATTCATCAGAATAAAATGATCAAATAATCTTATTTTATTATCCGTTGGCTTAAAACTTTTTAGCCACATATATGATCAACCACGCTTCACCCAATCTGGGATTTTCATGGTGGCTAATTTTTTTCCACTGTGACTTTGGGGAGAAATTAACACTTCATTCAGATCCATTTCTAAGATCAGGTGCTTCTAGGTTCACGTTTTAAGTATTCTTGTCTGCTGAAAAGTTAGAAACCCAATGCAAGTATTTAGTGTCACTACTTTGACCCCTCCGTCCTCAATTTAAAATCTGAAATGTGAGGAAAATGCAATGAAAAAACTTTATTCAGTATTGTAATTGTTTTAATGCATTTTGTGTGCCGAATTTTAAAAAACCCCAATAAAAATGCACTATTTATTTTATTTTATTATTTATTTATTTATTTATTTGACTTGTATACCGCTACTCCCAATTTGACTCGGAGCGGTTTACAGCAGTAAATTAAAACAATACAATTAACTTTTAAATACAATAAAACAAGAACTGACATAGTCCCCAGTTATTCACCCATCGAAAGCTTGTCGGAAGAGAAAGGTTTTACAGGCTTTCCGAAAAGCAAGTAGGTCTCGGATAGTTCGGGTTTCAACTGGCAAGGCATTCTATAAATAAGGGGCCACAATCGAGAAGGCTCTCTGCCTAGTAGAGGACAGATGATAAGTCCGGATGTTGGGGACTTCAAGCAAATTTTGGTCTTCGGACCGAAGTAATCTCTGGGGTTGGTAGGGGGATAAGCGGGCCCTCAGGTATGCAAAATTATTTAATAAATGGCATATTTTTTCTAAATTCAGTTTTGATTAAGTGCAGTCACTGATGTACCAAATCCCAATGTAATTTCTTTCAGTGATTTTGACTAGATCTGTATGATTTAAATCACCAAATTAAACTGATTTAAAGTATTTCTGTTCTGTCACCGCTGGGCCTGTAGTTAGTTGCCTTTAAAAATAGGATGTGTATCCTTTGCCCAGCGGGAAGCCAGGGGCCTAAGGAGAAGTTGCAGAGGTTTCCATTACAAAAGAATCTTCAGATGGCTAGAGAAGTACCAAAAAGTATTTTATTAATGAAATCGAACAGGAGCTTCAAGGCTTTCTTGATAAAGTATTGGTTCTCTCAATCTGTCCACAGGGGACAGGCACTATATTCAATAACGTTTTCTTTAAAGGAAAATTCTCCTTTTTAACTTCTCCCAGGCTGACTGAAATTCAACCCCCTCTGATGTTTGCTCCGCTACCGGGCCGAACTGCTTCTCGGACACTGAGTGGACCTACCAGCAAGGCAGTAGATATTCTCCAGCTGGAGTTCTTTAGTCTTTAAGGCTGTTTTCCTGGAAATTCCCAAAGCTGTGGGAATGCTTCCCTGTAGTTCTTAGGAGACTCTTAAAGCTGTTCTCCTCTGGATTTCTTTCCTTTCTGTTTCTGTTGGAATTTCTGTAACCCTGGAAATTCTTGAAGCTTGAAGCCTTTCTATAGGGGAAGTTACACACATCCTATACAAAAGCTAACCTGGTTGAGACTAACTAAAAAAATGGCTCCCCTCCCTTCTCTAAACCCAAAAAGGGGGCGGGACTAGAGAACCTAATGATGATGAACAGGTGGCCTGCCCTATGACTGCAAACTTTAACAGGAAGCCACCCTGCTGCAGAATCCCAAGCCTAGGATTGCAAGCAATCATTTAATACAAAGCAAATAAAGTGGGAGCTTCTGGTACAGCTGTACCAGCACAATTTCAGAAGCATTTCATCTCTTTCACACTGTTAACTCTTTACTTCTCAAATAAATAGTCTTGAATCCCACATTGCAAAATAAAACATCAAAAGAATTTATGGGAAAAAACCCACATGATGGAGTCAACCTGAGTCCAGTTTTGAGTTTAGAATGCCAAGTTCCTATAAAACCAGCATAATTTTTAAAATGCTTTTACAACCCTTACTTTTGCAGAGTCTACATGTAGAATATTTTAACTTTAAAAAACCGTCATGGAGTACTCCCAAAAATTATTTTTGATCTGAAACATGAAGAGGTACAGCCCCCTTTGTCACTTTGTTCTTTCGTATGAATAGGAAAATCCAAAAGACAACTAAATCAATCATTATTTTACTGTTTGAAATGTTACTGGTTCCCTGACAGCCCTAAACAATCGCCTAGAAAATGTATATGTTTGTCTACATTGTGTGATCATGCCTGCCAAAACCAATGGGATTATCCACACGGCTAAATGTTCATTGTTAGTTAAGACTTCATAATCTGGTTCACAGTAAATCACAGGAAAAAATGGGGCTGAGCCAATGTGCCTTTTAAAAAAAACTTTCCCTGAGAGACATGTGAAGTAATTAATGGCAGAGGGAACTGTTACTGTTGCAGAAATAATTGCTTTGCTAATTTAAAAGCTAAATCCAGAAACTAACAGTTAACCTAAAAGCATATATGCATATGAATATTTATCTGCAGCCTCCCCCAAAGATCAATTTCTGCGAGTGTGGGGGAGTAGCAGGGAAATATTCAGGTTTTTTTCTTTATCTGGACATGATTGACAGATGTTCTTAGGGATCTCTAGATGTCTTTGTGAGATCCTTAATGATGATATTGGCTGTGTGTTCAATAAAGCACTGGTTCTCAACCTTCCTAATGCCGTACCCCTTAATACAGTTCCTCATGTTGTGGTGACCCCCAACCATAACATTATTTTCATTGCTACTTCATAAATATAATTTTGCTACTGTTATGAATTGTAATGTAAATATCTGATATGCAGGATGTTTTTCATTCCTTGGACCAAATTTGCCACAAATACCTGATGCACCCAAATTTGAAAACTGGTGGGATTGGGGTGCGGTGATTTTGTCATTTGGGAGTTGTAGTTGCTGGGATTTATAGTGTATCTGATTCTACACTGCCATATAATCCAGTTCAAAGCAGATAATCTGGATTTTATATGGCAGTGTAGAAGAGGCCATGTTCGACTCCATCTCGCAGGTCGGGGTTACACTCCCCCTGAAGTCACAGGTCCGCAGTTTGCGTGTCCTCTTGGACTCATCACTTTTGCTTGAAGCTAAGGCATCGGCGGTGGCCGGGAGGGCTTTTGCACAATTGAGACTCATGCGCCAACTGCGACCATATCTCGTGAAGGCTGATCTGGCCAGGGTGGTCCATGCCTTGGTCACCTCCAGATTGGACTACTGTAATGCGCTCTACGTGGGACTGCCCTTGAAAATGGCTCGGAAATTTCAACTGGTCCAACCAGGTATGCTACATCCTCTCTCTGTGCTCCTTACAGAGAGAGGTCAACCCTCCTGTTTAAGGAGCTCCATTGGCTGCCATTCATTTTCCGGTCCCAATTCAAGGTGCAGGTGCTTACCTACAAAGCCCTAAACGGTTTGGGACCCGCCTACCTGCGTGACCGCATCTCCGTATACGAACCCACACGATCTCTCCGATCATCTGGAGAGGCCCTGCTCAAGATCCCACCTGCGTCGCAAGCATGTTTGGTGGGGACGAGGGACAGGGCCTTCTCTGTGGTGGCCCCCCGACTCTGGAACTCTCTCCCCAAGGACATCAGACAAGCCCCAACGTTGGCAGTCTTTAGGAAGAGCTTGAAGATGTGGCTGTTCCAGTGTGCCTTCCCTGAATAGGAAACTCCTAGCATCATGTCCCAAATGCACTTTACTAGAGATTTAAGTCTGCACACTGCACCTATCTCCAAAAAACCTATCCATTTCACCCGTCATGTCCAGCATTTTTTAAATTTTTATCCATTACATTTGGCCCGGCCTCAGTTTTAAATGTGTCGTAGTGTTATTGTCTAATGTTTATTGCTATTGTTTTAATGTTATTGTTTTGCTTTATGAGTTTATTTATTGTTGTATTTGTTATACTGTTGTTTTATTGATGTGTTGGCCTTAGCCTCTTGTAAGCCGCACCGAGTCCTTTGAGAGATGT